TTTCCCCAGAATTCCCCAATTTTCCCCAGAATTCCCCAAATTTCCCCCAATTCCCGCCGGATTTTCCCCCAAATTTTCCCAGAATTCCCCGATTTTTCCCAGAATTCCCCAATTTTTTCCCAGAATTCCCCAGAATTCCCCAATTTTTCTCCAGAATTCCCCAATTTTTCCCAGAATTCCCCAATTTTTCCCCAGAATTCCCCAGAATTCCCCAAATTTTCCCCAGAATTCCCCAAATTTCCCCAGAATTCCCCAATTTTTCCCCAGAATTCCCCAAATTTCCCCCAATTCCCGCCGGATTTTTCCCCAAATTTTCCCAGAATCCCTCAATTTTTCCCAGAATTCCCCAAATTTTTCCCAGAATTCCCCAATTTTTTCCCAGAATTCCCCAATTTTTTCCCAAAATTCCCCAATTTTTCCCAGAATTCCCCAAATTTTTCCCAGAATTCCCCAATTTTTTCCCAGAATTCCCCAGAATTCCCCAAATTTTCCCCAGAATTCCCCAATTTTTCCCAGAATTCCCCAAATTTTTCCCAGAATTCCCCAATTTTTCCCAGAATTCCCCAATTTTCCCCAGAATTCCCCAAATTTCCCCCAATTCCCGCCGGATTTTCCCCCAAATTGCCCCAGAATTCCCCAATTTTTTCCCAAAATTCCCCAAATTTTTCCCAGAATTCCCCAATTTTTCCCCAGAATTCCCCAATTTTTCCCAGAATTTCCCCAATTTTTTCCCAGAATTCCCCAAATTTTCCCAGAATCCCCCGATTTTTCCCAGAATTCCCCAAATTTTCCCCAGAATCCCCCGATTTTTCCCAGAACTCCCCAATTTTTCCCAGAATTCCCCGATTTTTCCCCAGAATTCCCCAAATTTCCCCAGAATTCCCCAATTTTTTCCCAGAATTCCCCAAATTTTTCCCAGAATTCCCCAAATTTTCCCAGAATTCCCCGGATTTTTCCCCGTTTCCCGCCCCCAAACCCCCCGGGAATTCTGGGAATTCTGGGAATTTTGGGAATTCCGGGAATTTTGGGAATTCCGGGAATCCTCACCCCCGCGCGGCTTCGCGCAGCGCTGCCGCGGAATTGCCGGGGATGCGGATCCGGCAGCGGGATCGGAGCGGGGGGAAAAGCTCCAGGAATTTCTCGGGATGCAGCTCCAGGAGGCACAGGAGGGTCTGGATCGCTGCGGGAAAAGAGGGAATTCCGGGGGAAAATGGGGAAAAATGGGGAAAATGGGGAAAAATGGGGAAAAATGGGGAAAAATGGGGAAAAATTGGGGATTTGGGGAGAGAATTTGGGGGAAAAATGGGGAAAAATGGGGAAAAATGGGGAAAAATGGGAAAAATGGGGGATTTGGGGAGAGAAATTGGGGAAAAATTGGGAGATTTGGGGGAAAATTGGAAAAAATTGGGGAGAAATTGGGAAAAATGGGAAAATTTGGGGAAATTGGGGAGAAATCGGGAAAAATTGGGGATTTTAGGAGAGAATTTGGGAAAATTGGGGGAAAATTGGGGGAAAATTGGGGATTTTGGGGAGAGAATTGGGGAAAAATTGGGGATTTTAGGAGAAAATTTGGGAAAATTTGGAAAAAATTGGGGAAAATTGGGGAAAAATTGGGAAAATTTGGGAAAAATTGGGAGATTTAGAGGAAAATGGGGAAAAATTGGGAAAAATTGGGGGATTTGGGGAGAGAATTTGGGAAAATTGGGAAATATTGGGAAAATTTGGGAAAAAACTGGAAAAAATGAGGGAAAATAGGAAAAAAATGAAGGGATTTGGGAAAAAATTGGGGAAAATTGGGGAGATTTGGGGGAAATTTGGGGAAAATTGGGGAGAAATTGGGAAAAATTCGGGGATTTGGGGAGAGAAATTGGGGAAATTTGGGGAAAATGGGGAAAAATTGGGAAAAATTTGGAGGATTTGGGGAGAGAATTTGGGAAAAATTGGGGAAAATTGGGGGAAAATAGGGAAAAATGGGGAGATTTGGGGAGAGAATTTGGGAAAAATTGGGAGATTTGGGGGAAAATTGGGAAAAATTGAGGATTTTAGGAGAGAATTTGGTAAAAATTGGGAAAATTGGTAAAAATTGGTAAAAATTGGGGATTTGGGGAGAGAATTTGGGAAAAATTGGGGAGAAATTGGGAAAAATTGGAAAAATTGGGAAAAAACTGGAAAAACTGGGGATGCATTGGAGGCACTGGAGGGTTTGGATCGCTTGGGGAAAAGGGGGAATTTGGGGAAAATTGGGAAAAATTGGGAAAATGGGGATTTTGGGGAGAATTGGGGAAATTGGGGAAAAATTGGTGATTTTGGGGAAATTGGGAAAAATTGGGAAAAATTGGGAGATTTGGGGGAAAATGGGAAAAATTGGGGATTTGGGGAGAGAATTGGGGAAAATTTGGGAGATTTGGGGGAAAATTGGAAAAAATTGGGGAGAAATTGGGAAAAATGAGGAAAAGTTGGAAAAAAATGAAGGGATTTGGGAAAAAATTGGGGAAAATTGGGGAAAAATTGGGGTGAAATTGGGAAAATTTGGGGGACTTGGGGAGAGATTTGGGGGAAAATTTGGGAAAATTGGGAGATTTGAGGGAAAATTGGGGGATTTGGGGAGAGAAATTGGGAAAATTTGGGAAAATTGGGGAAAAATTGGGAAAAATGTGGGGATTTGGGGGAAAATTTGGAAAAATTTTGGGGATTTTGGGGAGAGAATTTGGGAAAATTGGGAAAAATTGGGGAAAAATGGGGAAAAATGGGAAAAATTGGGGGATTTGGGGAGAGAAATTGGGGAAAAATTGGGAGATTTGGGGGAAAATTGGAAAAAATTGGGGAGAAATTGGGAAAAATGGGGAAAAATGGGGAAAAATGGGGAAAAATGGGGAAATATTGGGGGATTTGGGGAGAGAAATTGGGAAAAATTGGGAGATTTGGGGGAAAATTGGAAAAAATTGGGGAGAAATTGGGAAAAATGAGGAAAAGTTGGAAAAAAATGAAGGGATTTGGGAAAAAATTGGGGAAATTTGGGGAAAAATTGGAAAAAATTGGGGATTTTAGGAGAGAATTTGGGAAAATTGGGGTAAAATTGGGGAAAAATTGGGGATTTTGGGGAGAGAATTGGGGAAAAATTGGGAAAAATTGGGGAAAAATTGGGGAAAATTGGGGATTTGGGGAGAGAAATTGGGGAAAATTTGGGGAAATTGGGGAGAAATCGGGAAAAATTGGGGATTTTAGGAGAGAATTTGGGAAAATTGGGGGAAAATTGGGGGAAAATTGGGGATTTTGGGGAGAGAATTGGGGAAAAATTGGGGATTTTAGGAGAAAATTTGGGAAAATTTGGAAAAAATTGGGGAAAATTGGGGAAAAATTGGGAAAATTTGGGAAAAATTGGGAGATTTAGAGGAAAATGGGGAAAAATTGGGAAAAATTGGGGGATTTGGGGAGAGAATTTGGGAAAATTGGGAAATATTGGGAAAATTTGGGAAAAAACTGGAAAAAATGAGGGAAAATAGGAAAAAAATGAAGGGATTTGGGAAAAAATTGGGGAAAATTGGGGAGATTTGGGGGAAATTTGGGGAAAATTGGGGAGAAATTGGGAAAAATTCGGGGATTTGGGGAGAGAAATTGGGGAAATTTGGGGAAAATGGGGAAAAATTGGGAAAAATTTGGAGGATTTGGGGAGAGAATTTGGGAAAAATTGGGGAAAATTGGGGGAAAATAGGGAAAAATGGGGAGATTTGGGGAGAGAATTTGGGAAAAATTGGGAGATTTGGGGGAAAATTGGGAAAAATTGAGGATTTTAGGAGAGAATTTGGTAAAAATTGGGAAAATTGGTAAAAATTGGTAAAAATTGGGGATTTGGGGAGAGAATTTGGGAAAAATTGGGGAGAAATTGGGAAAAATTGGAAAAATTGGGAAAAAACTGGAAAAAATGGGGAAAAATTGGAAAAAATGAAGGGATTTGGGAAAAAATTGGGGAAAATTGGGGAGAAATTGGGAAAAATTGGGAAAAATTGGGAAAAATTGGGGATTTTAGGAGAGAATTTGGGGAAATTGGGGAAAAATTGGTAAAAATTGGGGAAATTGGGAAAAATTGGGAAAAATTGGGAGATTTGGGGGAAAATTGGGAAAAATTTGGGGATTTTGGGGAGAGAATTGGGGAAAATTGGGGAAAAATTGGGAAAAATAGGAAAAATTGGGAAAAAACTGGAAAAAATGAGGAAAAATTGGAAAAAAATGAAGGGATTTGGGAAAAAATTGGGGAAAAATGGGGAAAAATTGGGGAGAAATTGGGAAAATTTGGGGGATTTGGGGAGAGATTTGGGGGAAAATTTGGGAAAATTGGGAGATTTGAGGGAAAATTGGGGGATTTGGGGAGAGAAATTGGGAAAATTTGGGAAATTTTGGAAAAATTGGGAAAAATGTGGGGATTTGGGGGAAAATTTGGAAAAATTTTGGGGATTTTGGGGAGAGAATTTGGGAAAATTGGGAAAAATTGGGGAAAAATGGGGAAAAATGGGAAAAATTGGGGGATTTGGGGAGAGAAATTGGGGAAAAATTGGGAAAAATTGGGGAAAAATTGGGGAAAATTGGGGATTTGGGGAGAGAAATTGGGGAAAATTTGGGGAAATTGGGGAGAAATCGGGAAAAATTGGGGATTTTAGGAGAGAATTTGGGAAAATTGGGGGAAAATTGGGGAAAAATTGGGGATTTTGGGGAGAGAATTGGGGAAAAATTGGGAAAAATTGGGGAAAAATTGGGAAAATTTGGGAAAAATTGGGAGATTTGGGGGAAAATTGGGAAAAATTGAGGATTTTAGGAGAGAATTTGGGAAAAATTGGGGAAATTGGGGAGGAATTGGGAAAAATTTGGGGGATTTGGGGAGAGAAATTGGGAAAATTTGGGGAAATTGGGGAGAAATCGGGAAAAATTGGGGATTTTAGGAGAGAATTTGGGAAAATTGGGGGAAAATTGGGGGAAAATTGGGGATTTTGGGGAGAGAATTTGGGAAAATTGGGAAAAATTGGGGAAAAATGGGGAAAAATGGGAAAAATTGGGGGATTTGGGGAGAGAAATTGGGGAAAAATTGGGAAAAATTGGGGAAAAATTGGGGAAAATTGGGGATTTGGGGAGAGAAATTGGGGGAAAAATGGGGAAAAATGGGGAAAAATGGGAAAAAATGGGAAAAATGGGGGGATTTGGGGAGAGAAATTGGGGAAAAATTGGGAGATTTGGGGGAAAATTGGAAAAAATTGGGGAGAAATTGGGAAAAATGGGGAAAAATGGGGAAAAATGGGGAAATATTGGGGGATTTGGGGAGAGAAATTGGGAAAAATTGGGAGATTTGGGGGAAAATTGGAAA